TTTTGAAACTAAACACGCTGCACATTTCGGTAGTATATCTTTACACATTGTCAGAAATAAAGATTTATTATATTATTTCATTTTGTAAGTTACTTTTCATCATGTATACACAGTGGATGGACTACTATTGAAATAGCTTTCTCATCTTATTTCGGGAGTTCTCATCAGTGAAAACGGACGAACACCCGTTTTGTTAATGTTTAAACTACAGAATATGTTGAAAATCAAGGCAATCATTTCAAAAAGAGTATGTCAATGTTGGTGGACACCGAATCGTTTGTTTATTAAACCCAGTCTCCATTTAGCGGGAGGCAAGAGGACTAACTTTACTTAGTCGGATACTGGTTGGTAGAAGACTGGAGAATTACGATCATAAATATTACTGTACATTACATTAACATTGATCTACAAACTCTGCTGACAGTAACTTGTAAATCCGTTTCGTTATCGATGGAAAAATAAACAGTCGTATCACCCTACCTTTTTCTGTTGTTCCGCGGTGGTCAGTATGCATGGTATTCTGCATGTTAGGCATAGCCTTCTGAGACTAGCGGTAAGTCCGGGATATTTGCAGCCTGGATAGCTGACACCGTGGTTCTGCTGAAAAATATTTCTTACAATAAACGAACTTTTTATTTTACTGTTTAACTCAATATTTCCGCTTTTCGTTCAATAAATCAATCATGTAGGATGAAACGGATTCTCAACTACGTATTTCTTATCACATTTGATCAACTCTAATAACCTTTTCGTATATAGAGCTATTTATGTCAAGATAAAATTTCAGACCCACTGTATTTAAAACCCACTTCAAAATAAAGTTAGCGCTAAATGTGTTATCGAAAACATTCACCTGAACAGCAAGTTTTTTATACTGTTTTAAAGTATTTATGCTGCATTTCTCAAATGAAAATCGAAAATTGAGTGCAATGGTATAAAGCGCTGTTTCGCAATCTATATAGTTAACTTATTATTTGTTAGGTATTTGCCTGATTTAACAGGCCTTTATTCAGATGATATCCTGCCTCTAAAGAAATTTACATCCAATTATTTCTGTACACATGTTAAATTAGTCGAGTAAACTTAAGGTTACGTGGGATATTTATTTATTTATTCTTTAATTTTTGATTACAGCTTGATTCCATACCGTATTTTTTTTTGATTACAGCTTGATTCCACACTGTATTTTTGGTACAAGTATGGAATTTTCACCATGGATATCGGTAGCCCAAATTTTGCAGGCCGACCATAGATATCAGGTGTGCGTCGGCGAGGGCTCGAACCCCGGCCCATGTGCATGGTCGGCGAGGGTCCTAACCACTGTGCCACCGAAGCACATATTGTCAAGTGGAGAAGCATATTATTGCTAAATTACTATAATAATCAATACTTATAAGTAGACTTGCATATAATAGGTTACTGTGTTTGCAAGAACTTGACTGATCTCTAGATGAAGTTGTTTACTAACAATTGAAATGCAAGGTATCACTGACAAAGAGCATCAGGACTACCGTTATTTTCTGTATTATGTTAGTTCGCAGTACTGAAACTTCCCAAAATATGACAAGATGACTATTCAGCGGTTTAAGATGTTCAATCTTTCTACTGTTAATATAGGCTTGTAACAAAGTCTGCTTTGAAAAATATTTGTCAATATTTCTTTTCATTAATTGAAAATGACAGTCACCCATTGAGCAATATGGTCCATATTATCTCTCTTAGATTTACATTTAAGAATGTCCATTATTTAAAACACACACACTGATTTAAATCTTCTATTCCATCTTGTTTTTATTTAGCCTAATAAGTGTCCGTTTCCATTGCTTTAAAGCTATTTTTTAGAAAAAACACACACGAATTATTGTATTGTGCAGTGATAAAATTATTCAACAGAAGACTAACCAAAATCATACACCTTCTTTTTTTAATTATCTTGGCTAAAATTCCTAAAGGTTTCCAAGTTTTTGGACAAGCTGGATGCATCATTTCATTATTTGAACTATTTACTAAACATGCTTCTATGAGATATTCACTTTTTTTAACAACTAATCATAAATGCATAAAACCATATTGTAATAAAAATTCTGTTGACTGCATATTTTGAAATTTTAGCCACCTAAATTGATTAATTTCAAAGCAAATTCACTCTGTTAGAAGCCAATGTTTGCAATGCGACGTTTACAGTGGTCAAGCATGAAAAAAGTTGATATTAGAAGTTTTCATTTCGAAGATGTTTCTAGAAAAAAGTTTCATTTGTGTCCTCCTTTTAAACTTGAATATCAAATAATAACCACTTAGATGTTATAGGTTTTTAAGCAGTTACGGACAAAAGGTTAACACTATACCAGCAAGTAACTACTGATTGTGATAACCATGATCTATTTAGGATGAAAACATCTATTCACTTCATAAGTGTACACATTTAACGATTGTAGATAGGTTGGATTCTAAGTGCATTATGTATCTTTTTATAGTGGTGAAAGTAATCCAATATATACTAGTATCAAATATGTCCTTATTATATAGGGGTGGAGATAATCCCACAATTAAATTGCATATAAATCTTTATTCAATTCTAGATTTCACTTTACAAGTAAACCTTTTGTAATCTACGTATGTCTAGTCATCGCCTTCCTCGACAACAGGCAGTGTTAGCTGACATAGGTTCAGGCTGGAAAAGAGCTAGCGGAGGTCAAACAAAAACATAGCACCAGTCAATGAAATCTACAACAGTTAGTCTAAGCCACGTAGGGGTTGGGGTCCGAGGGACGGTAAAAACCAATGGTTGGAAACAATTGGTGATGTGGCTCACAATCGTTCTCAATGGCTGGGACGGATGCATCCACTCCCTGTGACTTATGATCTTCAATGAAACTGTTTTGTTCTTCCTTATTACTATTCCTTTGCCTCACACCTCTGTTTACTGTCTCTATTATGCACTTCTACTACTTTCTTTTCTTGCTTTGTGTGCTACATGGAGTGTGGCGACTTGAACTGCCGCACATTTGTGCAAAGTTCTATGTTGGAAACAGACAGACAGACAATCTACCACAGACAGTTGATATTTTTCATTCCTTATCTTGTCAAAGAATACGAGGCTTTAAACAGTGAGTTTATAAGCTTCAAATGCAGTGCTGGTTTTTTACTGGTTTGCGCCGCTTGTTTCAGGCCTAACTTTCCCTCTTTTCCTATCTCACTACCGGAAAGGTACGGTTTAAGAGTAGGTTGGGTCGGAATGAAGCCTAAACCACATGGTTGATGAGTACTCTGACAATGAACCAAACATTGAATTTTATTTCATTGTCTCACAAAACATGAGTATACTGTCTTGTATAAGTTTAGCAGGACGGACTATTACTTATAATCTTTGAATTGGAATTATTTATTCTGAATAATAAATAATAGACTTTTTTCGTCTATCATCCGTTAAACACAATGTTCAAAACAAAATTATATTCGGTATTCCTATACCACAGAACCAATCACTATCAGTGGGATAAAAATGAAAGACACTAATTCTTCCACCTTTGTAGAAGCTTCATTTCAACCACAAGCGGCATGGATGAAGGTGTCAAAGCCAGAATCAGAAAGGTGAGATGCACCTTCATAAATCTGAAACCGGCTTGAAAATCTTCTGCACTTCTTAGAATAAAGAACAAGATCCAGATTTTCAACGCTAATTTGAAGTCAATCAGTTCTTCTATATGGATCAGAAATTTGCACTGTGATTCACAAAAATCATTTCCGACAGGCCACTACGGACTTTTATCAAAAGCTGCCTACACCCATATTTCAAGGTCAGGTGAATGGCCAGAAGTAATTGGCAGCAAGAAACTATGGGAACAAACTAACCAAAAGTCTATTATTCAACAAATATGTATAAGAAAATGGAGATGGAATGGGCATAATCTGAGGAGACCGCTGAACGACATCGTGCACCAGACAATCACTGGAGTGGAATTCAAATAGGAAACAATGAGCGGGTCATCCGAGGGTGACGTGAAGATCATGCGAGGAGGAGATGAGATATTATGGGCGCTCGTGGGCTGAGCTAAAGAGAATAGCAGAAAATAGGAGAAAGTGGAGATTCGTTGTTGCGCCCCTATGTTCTACTTGGAACCTAAGGGAACAACAAAAATAATATTCCAATACCAGTAGAAATAAAGTATTTGCAAATAAAAGAAGTTAACTGACAATCTGAATGCATGACTTTCATTTTGTTGGCGTTTTGTTTTAACGTTTAATAAATGTGATAAAACAATGAACACTGATACTATGCATGTTCATCTGAAGAATCATGATGACATTTTTATCTACTTACAACTTTACTTTCCCTAATCTGTCCTACTTTGTATAAATACAAACACATGCATTCGTAGTATTTTTCATTTCTTTTGAATAGTAGAAGTGATAATGGTGAGCAACATGGAGGTTAGGCGCAGAGTTATAGGTAAACAGGGGAAATCAATCGACGAAGCCGTGAAGCTACAAAGACTGAGATGGTTAGGACATGTGTTACGTATGCCAAGCCATCGCCTCCCTCGACGAGCTATGTTAGCGGATATAGGGTCAGACTGAAAAAGCTAGCGTCGGTCAAACAAAAACTTGGCATCAGTCAATGAAATCCACAACAGTTGGTCTAAGCCACGTAGAAAGGTGTAGACTTCCAGGCTGGGGTCCTCGGGACGGTAAAAATCTATGGTTGGAAACAATTGGTGACATGGCTCAAAACCGTTCTCAGTGGCGCAGATGCATCCACTCCCTGTGACTTATGATCTTCAATGAAACTGTTTTGTTCTTCCTTATTACTATTCCTTTGCCTCACACCTCTGTTTACTGTCTCTATTATGCACTTCTACTACTTTCTTTTCTTGCTTTGTGTGCTACATGGAGTGTGGCGACTTGAACTTCCACACATTTGTGCAAAGTTCTATGTCGAAAACAGACAGACAGACAGAAGTGATAACAAATTCTAAGCAGTATAAAGTATCAGAACTTACTCGTATATCTTCTGGCTTCAAATACATCATATTATTTGTGGCAATATGATTTTTATCTTGATTTGAATGTAATCCGTAATAATGTTGATTATTGTAATTTAAAAGTTGATGAGTATAATTATTCGTACCGATGTTGTTGTTGTGGTTGTCATTATTGTGATTAGTGTTATTTAAAATGCAATTACTATTATTATTATTGTTAATACTATTTTTAGTAAGTTCAAAGTGAATATTTCCAAATAGTTTATACATTCCAGAAGCAATAAAAACTTTCTCTTTACGAAACAATTCATTTACAGATCTTATTTCACGACCAGTTAATGAATATAAATGTCTGATTGGATCATTATGCCAACGTGCACCGAATGCTTCGCTTAGTTCACACATAACTTCACCCAGGGTATGTACAGCTCTACGAACCATAATAACCTATAATAAAAAAATAGTTAAATGTTTTATAAATACTGAAACAGTTGATCACGTTAATGAAAGTAAAGTTAGATCCTTTATCATCTTGGTGTCAATCACCAGCCGTTGGATTTTTAACACAAAAGTGAACGAGAATAAGAATGTGATTTGATCTATTGTCTGTTAACAATAAAAACAATAATGTTTATAATTTCAGTTTGACTGGTCGTGAGAACATTACAGACAGCATTGATGATAATGACTAATGTTCTAAACGAGCAGAATTCTTGTTGAAACACTTTCTGAGTCCAGCATTTGAAAATGCTTTTCCCTCAGATACCTAGCACTCAACCCATTTCTTGTAGATGAATTTGAATTTCGTCATAATATGGTAAATTTCTTCTAGTGTTTTCCTTCATATAACTGTTGTCAACTAAGCGTAATAAAATGAATCCCCCAGAAAAACAACTTTTTATTTTACATAAAGAAGATTTCTGATATAACTGGGTCAGAAACAATAACTGGCTGGAATGGTGGAAATTCACTAAAGTGATAGTATTAGAGTTAGTGAATATGCTCAGCTGACTACAAGGTAAAGTCGCAAAGAAACCTGCTATCTGACACGAAACCTCACCAAGCACGTTTACGTCGAAAATTCATTCAGTGGATAATGCCCTTTTCTACACTATTACTTTTCGTTGCATTTCATTAATTCGTTGACTCTTATGGTCACTAAGTACTATTGAGAAACATATTGTATGCAATAAATGATGGATAAACCTCAATCAACCCTTCCTTAAATCACTTTTTAGAGAGAAAACACTCATTAAGTGCAATGTTATTTCATCTTAATAACTAAAAGTTCATAGTAGGCAACAATCCTGGTGAATCCTTGATTGAAAGATGAAACTCCTAGGCTAGCCGCTTCCGATTTTATCTACCGATTGAAGCGCGCTTGTGGGGCGAGTTATATCAGCTGTTGCTTTAGGAACTTGATTTTTCGTGCTCGAGAACATCTCCCAGCATGGCTAAGTAAAGGCGTAGTAAAAACCATTAACAGTTCGATATTAGACCACCTGGTCCAGACCGGCCAAAAAGCCAGTACTGAAGAATCCTTCCCTACCATCTACTGGGCACCGAATGAACTGCCAAAACAACGCACGCTTCAAGCAGAAGAGGCCATTGTGATTCACATGAAACAACCAGTGCTTTATGTGCAAAAGAAGCAATTCCAGCCACCACTACTGCCCTATGAATTTGTATTATCTTTCCTAAGTTTTCTGATATTCAGTTTATTGTTATGTTGATGCTATTGAATTGTAATCTATTGATACTATTGATTCGATGTTATTTAAAAAACATTGATGTTGTTATTAACACTAATCGATTCACTATAATGTATATATAACTGTAGAACCTGATTAAGAAAGGTTATCGAAAAGAATATTCCTTGTTAAGTAACCATTCTTTTGAAAATTCTGAAATATACATATGACTTTTCAGTGTCTACAGAAAAATACATTTGGATAATACATTTAGATGTGAAGCGACCAAAAGACAGTATCATAAATTATTAAATAATCACCATTAGACACTAGTAAAAACATTCCACAAGTTGGCTGATAAAAATCGGCACACTGCTTAATTTGAATCAGAAGGTCAAAGCGGATATCGAGTGTGCTTTCCAATAGCGTTGGTCTAACTTTCCTCTCGAACATCACTTTATTTTGGCTTTCTGCAACATTCCTGTTTTTATTGGCTTCACATTCAGTCTTATCTTTTTTTAATTCAATGAATTTGATGCAGACAAATGTCCAGTGAAACATCTAACCGAATGGTTGAATTAGGCGTTACTGCCGTAGTAAAACATCGTCTGTACCACCTACTGTAATGGCAGGTCTATATGTCATTATCTAATCCACTACTTTGCATAATACGACCAAACACAGCCCAGTAAAACCCTAAATTTTGCTTTCAGTTTGGTAACCAAGGTGCTAAACACTAACTCTAGCTTCAAATACTTTATACTGCTTGTTTAGGAGAAATGAACACTTGATTTCTTTCAGCATGGCAAACAAAACTTTTCTAATAACTATACTTATTATCTCTCCTCCATGTGTTTTAAGCAGGGCTGTCTTGAAAGTATAAAATAATCCACAAATTGCCTTAAAATGAAGAACATTACAGCTAACTCTGACGGCTGAATGTTATAGAGTCTATAGAGTCTTTGATATGGCCAATTAAACACTCCCTACAATTTCATAAAAGCATCTACTATCTCTAGAAGCCATACACTATTATTTAAGTCAACAAAATCTGAATGAACCAGAGACTTATGTGTGTGGAAATAAATCTACAAGAATATTGAACACTTAGTTAAGACTCAGGAAGAAAAGGGCAACTAACAAATAACTTTCGTCAGTCATCATTGAATGAAGTCTTTATCCACTGATTAAAAATATTCGGCAGGGAAATATCAGTCAATACTGTATCACAGTGGATTACTGGTAAGGTCTAGACACAGCTATATTTTCAGAAAACCGTCGATACAGTTATTTTTTGCACCTGTGATATCCAAAGATCCAAACTACTAGTCATTTTGTACTGAATGTTACATTTCTATTCTAGCAACATAACTAATTATCGTTGTTGTTGATTGACCCTACGCATACATCTATTAAACTTTACACAAAATACTGATACTAAACATTTATTTTATGTTGGAAGGGTGAAATAGCGAACGTGTAACATTTTCTAAAAACACATTACATCAATAAACTAATAATTTCCACACTTCATTGTTGAATATGTTATTTTCAAGAAGGGTTTGTATGTTTCCAACATGAAGAGATATACAACAACTATCATTCCGCCTATACTGATGCATGTGATGCTGCTGTAATAAGAGAAACTGGATTTCAGGTCACTGAATGTAATTTATGATCTGACGGAGAATTCAGTTAGCGGTCTTTTAACCAACACTAGCCCGTAATTTTTCATATAAACCAATACATTGGTTACCGAAGATTAATAAGTGACAAAAGACCGGTTGCATAAAGGATGATAAATCGTATAAAGAAACGTATTAAGGCTATGTTTTCGGGTGCTGACGCCTCCCTTGTTGTAAGAAAGCTGTTATTTTTGGAGTATACACAAGATACATCAAATATCAACCGAATATTATCCCCAAAGTTGAAAGAAACCTCCAGAAAACAGTAAGCTTCCGTATACTTTGCATTGACGAGGCCTTAGAGATCCGGATAGATAACCCTCATTTATGTACATGGAAGACACAACTCCACTCCTTCCTTCTACCTTGGATATAATTCCAAGTTCTACGACTTTGTTAATAATATTTTGTTTTCTGTTTTGTGCTTTGAATTTTTGTATGGCATCTTGGCAACACCTTCTTAACCAACCCTTTATTTGCTCTTTCTACCTATTACATAATTTATTTTGGACGCGTGTCTCCATTAACATCCTATTTCATATTGCGCAACCCTTGTCGATACCCACCAATCTTCATCCTACTTGTTACAGTCTGATTATTCATCACATTTTAGAAACACTTTGATGAATTAAGCAGTGGCCTTAACTAATTTTTATTTTTGTTTGATAATTGTATTTGACATTAAGATTTTCATCACATAACTCTAACACGACCATATTTCTTCAGCTATAAAAGAGAATTAATTAAAGACTGTGAGTCGCTTTGATAGCCAACCACTTTTAGATTACGTGGTGAAGTAGTTTTCATCAAGTGTCGTAAATTGCAGGGGAAGATTTAATTCTGAACAACAATCTGCCCTACAGAAACTATTCATGAAGAATACCATAGTTTAGCAATCATTGACCTCACTTCGAGGAAATATGTCAGAGGTGGGAACAAGCCATCTGCAAAAGATGCAGAATATAAATCCGATAGGAACATCAAAACTAATACCTCATTTTGTAAAACAAAAACTACTTTGTTTATACTGAAGAGTTAGATTCAAATGCAAAGTAATTTTTAATGATTCGAATTGAATGCATCATTACAAAGATATCTAAAAGATGATTTATACTCACAGTGACACTTGTTCTTCCTTTACCGTCTGGATTACAGCGTACTACCGTTATCTTGCGTCCAGCACATTTCTGATTATCACGGGGTAGTAGACGCAGTAATTTTGTTATTTGCGTTGTTGGTTCATTACTGACTGTTTTATTATTGTCACTATAGCAGAACTCTTGAACTTTTTCACCGATACAACAATCATTATTGTTCTTTGATTTGATAGCTATACCAGCACTAGTGTCTGAATTCAAGTTGTGTTTTACCGATGAAATAAAGTGTAGGTTTGTGTAAGCATTACCACCAGGATGACTGATGTCACCTACGGATAGCCTCGAAGGTTGATTCAATTTACAGAATTCTCTCACTTTTGGTCTTTTAAGCAATGAATATGTTTCACTCGGCTGACTCATTTGTAATTCTTTATCTGTAACAAATATACAATTACAGTAATAGGAGTTAAATAGTGATCATTTTTTGAGACATAAAACATGCATGTGTGGTTAAAAAGTGATCTCAAAAATAAATTATATTTACGATACATTTACCAACTATAAGAGACTTAAAATTAGCTTTGAATTAGACGTGAAATAACCTAAATACTAGTAGATAAGAAGACTTCATTCCATCTCCGTGAGTGAACCATGCAAATCAGAATCTCTACAGAATTTTCAGCCTAAATTAAAAGCGAATTTTTCCTTTATCTTCCAAGTATTAACTAACAAATGTTTCATTTCCATCTTTGATTTTGTTTTAAACAAGTAAGCTAGTAAACTGTATTTTTCTCCCTAAACTTCAGTGTTCTGTCATCGTTTCTACATAGATCCAGTTTACTGCAGCATTTCAGAATTGATCTAAATATATCACATCTCAAAAAGGTATACACATTTGACTGTAGTGTGGAAGGAAAGGAGAGAGACCAGCGAGTGGCACACCAGATAATTTACTTTAACTATGTTAACATTTCTGATAAAAATTCACCATATGCTACTAAGTATGGTAAGTGCGCAAATAAATATCCGTTTACTTTAAAACCACGGTTTTGGATTTACAAAAGTGTCATCCTCAGAAAAGTTACTGACACTTCAGAAAACAGTGTTTTTCATTACATTTGCCATTATCTGAGTAGTTATAATTAATCTTAGGGTGAAGGGATGCAAGATGTAATAAACTCTCAATAGGAAGCATATGGTCGCTAAACTGATACATATAATAAATATAAGTTAATAGTAATTGTAATAAAACGTCGAACTGATTACTGCACATGGAAAAAACAGTTAGCGATTGTTACGTATCAAAAAGTAAATAGAACTTTAAAAGTAAAAATGTAAAATATTAAAAAGATGTTGAAAAGTTGCAGTGTGCGCTAAAGATGTTGTCTTGTAAGACAATGGAACTTTCTCAGCTGAACTACATAGCTGAGGGAGTCTAGATCTACCGAAGCCATCCACCTGAGCAACAAATCTTCTCCACTTCACCTGAATATATATATACCCCGAGGACATTGGAGATGGACCGGACAGACGCTGAAGGAACCATCGAATGATATTGCATGCTAGGCCCTCGGGTGGAACCCAAACGAGAAAAGACGAGTGAGGCGTCCGAGGGTGACATGAAGTAGATCGTGCGAAGAGGAGATGAGATACTATGGCCAGTCGTGGGGGCAGATGAGGAGGACTGCAGAGGATAAGACAAAGTGGAGATGTTCTGCTGAATCCCTACGTCCCACTCAGAACCTCAGGGAACAATAATATATATATATATTCTTAGTAATCTTAGAGAAGATTTGCAGAAGCTATTGTGACAACAGAAGACAAGGGACAGGAAACAGATCCTTTATTGAGGAAATCAACACATATTTATAGCTTTTCATATACATATTATAGATTATTGTTAGCAGAAAAACACAGTCTTCTGATTGGTTGTTTCTCACTGAAAGTTAACCTTGCATCTCTTTGTGACTGTTTCTTGAATGTCAGATCATCTATATGTTAACTGTATCCGCCTACGCAAAGCCTTTGTTTGTATTTTTCTCACGACCAATACTGGGGACATAAGCATTGACGTAAATTACTGTCAACCGATTTTGGCTAACAGCCAGCTGTCACCACACTATTACTCCAAGAACCATTTTATTATAGAAATGTGATTTATTTATAACTCACACTCACAAATAATAACGTCAGTATTAACACTTTAACTACCATTGATGACGTGAAATATTCACCTCATAAGCCGCCAACGCTTACAAACCTAAGGATTCCATATTTATATAAAACTAAACAGTGACAGTACAATGTACAATATTGCACAGATATGCGCCAAATCAGCCTGCCACAATTTGCAAAATTATACACATGAAAGATTGAAATAGTAGCTTTTAATGCTACATTCAACAAAATTACGTTGCAGAAATAGTAATTAGGTGAAACGTAGTGAAGCACTGAACCGCTGACTCAGAGTATATGGGGACCCAAGAAAAATAACCCAAACTTTTCTACAAGGCTCATTTCAGCAATCAATGATTCCTTGCATCGGTAAACTGTTTTGAACTGACCAACTCTAACTTTCTTCTAGTCTGCTCATAGCTTGACTAGCTGACATATACAATACACGCTGTAGCCAGTCCAATAGACACAGACTCACTAGTCAAAAGAGTAACCCATCTTTATTTTCAAGAACTTTGAATTTGATTTCAACTTAACTCATCCTGTCACTACAACTTATATGAGAAATCTAACGAAGAAAATTACTACCAAAACCTACAGCATTTACTTGTCTCCTTTTTTTTCCGAGAGTATTTCTTATTGGGTCTTATTTTGATGGTACTTCAATATTCAAACGTCTCTATACCACATCTTTTCCGAAAGAACTGAATGAATGAATGCAGAGAACATCATTTATGGCATTCATGTAATACAGTACTTATGTTATTGATAGCAGTTTTTACTAACTATGTAAGCCTTAAATAAATTATAGACAACTAGGAAATTGTGAATTTAAGACAAATCCTCCATGCAATCAAATAAAACTCCCTACAAAACCAATACTTGATAATTCATTTTGTTGATCAATTTCATCTGACTTCTAAAATGAGTCGCTTACTCCTAGTACATTTTTGCACAAAAACCTCAACTTCAGTTATTTGAAATTATTTACTCATGCTCGGCAAACTGCTATTAATGTGAGTAATTTTAGACATTATTTTGGCACTATTTAATTTATCGACATAATTCTCATTTTAGAACCTATTTTTATTACAGGAGAAATACGAGTTGAGTAAACTAAAGTCACATACATCAAGCGAATGTGATAATGCAGAATGCATTGTCAAGTTGATGAAGTCTAAGCGTTTCATTGTATTGAACTTTTTCAGTGATTGCCTAAATAAATAAAATAAACCGAAACAGTATTTAGAACAAATCTAAATCTTTGGATAATTTACAAGTATCTGAACAGGCGTTCATTACTTTTTTTCTAAAATTTGATGGAATACATGAGTAAATAAATATATATCAAAACTACTCTACTTCCTAGTTTTTCATTTGTTCAGTGGTACTACTCTATACTTCCATCTTATTAATGTAAGAAGAATAATTTAAGTGTCATTTAGTGTAAGAGCTGAAAGTGAGTCCTCTATTAGTGAAATATCACTAGAAAATGGAAATGAGTTTCACTTTTAATAAAGCAACTTTAAAGCTGACATAAACAAATGCCTCACAGGATTTCTTTTTTCTACATTCCTTCGCGTTCTGGGTGGAACACAGAGCTTTAAGCTTTGAATCTACTATAGCGTTGGTGTTGTTTTACTACCTGAGGTTGCTGCCTGCACAAGAGGCCTGTCTTCTTTTCTAGGCTGATTGTCGGCTAGTAAACTAGGTGAGTTTTAGAAATGTATCGGCTGGGAGTCGAACTCTGGACTATATGATTAGTTGGTGGACATTCTACCACTGAAGCACCGAAGCACATCTTCAAAGGATCACTGGAAAATAATTCTATTGTATCAGTGTATACAGATCAATATGATATCATGAAATTAAATGTTTGCTGAACTGAATCTCTTGCATCACATGCAGTGAACCTTGTCTCAAAGTAATCAAACCTCAAGGATAACCTTTACATATTTAGCAATCAAACTGAAACGATTATTATCAAGTAGTGGTTTTGTAGGGATTTCGTTTGACTGGATGGAGGATTTCATCATGAGCTGACATCAGTTAGAGAACCACTGGAAAATCTGGGAGTACCGGACAGCTGTTTCGTCAGCCTAGTTTGGGACTCTTCATCAGTATTCACCCTTCGGGGTTCGAACCCAGAACCTTCTGGTTACAAGGCGAGCTAGCTCGTAGACAATTGAGCGCACTGGGACGATTATTACACGAAAAACAGTTGAATAAAATCTTAATAATTTCCACCGATCACTAATATAACACAAACTTTTTTTTATAAAAATATAATAATTATTCTCATATTTACTTGAATACTACTTATCAAAATACTTTTCTATTGAAATAAAAAGAATATTATCATTACTGATGAGTGAGTGAAAAATTTGAACTTATGTTCATTTAATTTGTAATATTTTATTGATTCTATATATTTTAATTTTGCTACAGTGACCTAAATTTTAGTAATAAAAAATGACAGATGAATTAACACTTCATGTTGTATACAATACAATGGATTAAGATATGAAGTACATTCATTTATCTGCATCAATATCATACTTAGGTGTGAATCTGTCAACATTCTTTACTTTTTTTGAACAGATTTTAATATTTCTGTTATTATTATTATTCTTATATGTTTTGGTTTTTGTATATTCAAGAGATCTAATACACATTGCTTTTTACTTTTAAGCGGTTTAGTTAATATGATAAATTTTTTAATGATAATTCAACAAGTCGAGTTAAAAATCCTATTCAAAAGTACACTATTTGCGGAACTAAGCAGTTAACAAACGATATCTATTCATCAGTTGCATTTAAACAGAACGATAAGTCGAAAATACTTGTATATCGCAGTGATATTTAAAAAGTTTAATTTGTGCTGCTTAACTTTTCAAAGTTCACTTTGAATTGTAAACTTCGACTTATAGCTCAATGTTATTCATAAAATGAGTGATTAATATAGTATAATAATCTTTATTTCTAATAAATTATTTTTCCCACCTGACATCTGACCATCTCTTTTAAAGACGTTAAACTACAGGGTGACCACCCTACACTTCATCAGTACTCCTAATATTTTAAGCAGCGTCCTTCAGTAAAATTTTCTTTAAGTGAATACTATAAAACATTCTTGGATTGGATACTAGTTGGTAACTAGTGTGATGTATCTAGTCCTTTCTTCGGTGCAGACTGAATTCCATCGAACAGGTTCGCAATTTGGCCACAAAACTAGGTAACTTGCCATCATAGTTCACTT